CGCTCGTAACGTTTCTTGGCTAATAAAAAATGACCTAAAGTGGGATCGGCATAGTTAGTCAGTCGCCGGTAAATTAGGTCATTTTTTATTATCCAGGAAACGTTCCGAGCGCCTGTGGCCCCAGTTATGGATTCGTAAGCTGCTACCAAATATTTTATTACGCCAAAATAACGTGATTTCAACAACTCTCCCAGGTATGGGTTGCTACAATATTGCAACATTGGTTTCATTGTCAATGATGCTAAAGCCGAATGAGTGCGACACTTGCTTAGCGGCTCTCCTTATACGATTTGCTTGAATCGATTCTGAGGAAGCACAAACCAAACAGCCAGCCCTTTTTAGGGCCACGACATATTTCAAAAAGAGAATTACTGTTTCTGCTTTAATATATATTTTTATAGACTTGCTGATTGTTAGGATTCTGAAAAAAAAATCTTGCTAAATAAATGTAAATCAGCGATGAACGCACTGCCCTGAAGGCAGAAAGCGAAATAGCTATTTTGCTGTCACACCTATTTCGTGTTCACCCCTTGTTTTACGCAATCAACAATTATATTTAAATAATTTTTATAAGCATCACGACAGACTTCAAGAAAGTCAACTGTTAATACAACCCCAGTCAACAAATAGAAAATAGTTTTTTTTTATTTTTTGTGTAGAAAAAGGCCCCCTGGGCATGTGCCCGCATATGACCTCAACTTCTTCATTGTGTCAAAAGTGGGTGGTGGGTGTTTGCCCCGGCATGGGCTCTTACCCGGATAAGTACGGTATCAGTAAATAGACAGTAATATTCATTGGCATGATGTTGGAAGGAAAAAGTGAGCAAATGCCATTGGCAGGCAATGATGTCGTGGTGGTAACACTGATGTAAAACAAGTGAACTTGTGAGATTAAAGTTTATTGGGGAATACAGAACCTTTCAGAGTGTATTGTCAGTTTGTTAATTCCTTGATCAGATGTAGTCCGGAAACGGGGACTTGCTTTTTGCAGGGACCTGCATGCTTGTTTGCATCTCCACCTATATCCCAAACGGGCCTGGTCCAATCCGTTCAAACTTCATAAATACAACACATATCTTGTGCTTACATATGCGCACATCCATTCATTTCGTGATGCGATTCAAGATTGCAGAATGGCGGCTATTTTAATGTTGAAAATCAAAATCAAGCATTTCTGTCATTTTGAAACTTGATCTTGATCGTATGTCAACAAATTTTGTTCAAACTTTGTATGAGCATCATACATTATGAGACCTTAATGCCATCTCTGACCTGCCAATCATGTTCAAACTTTGTATGAACATCATACATTATGAGACCTTAATGCAATCTCTGACCTGCCAATCATGTTCAAACTTTGTATGAACATCATACATTATGAGACCTTAATGCCATCTCTGACCTGCCAATCATGTTCAAACTTTATATGAACATCATACATTATGAGACCTTAATGCCATCTCTGACCTGCCAATCATGTTCAAACTTTATATGAACATCATACATTATGAGACCTTAATGCCATCTTTGACCTGCCAATCATGTTCAAACTTTGTATGAACATCATACATTATGAGACCTTAATGCAATCTCTGACCA